ATTAATCTGGGGGCAGCAGTCTGTATCCTGTTAAAAATTGGGCCACACAGCAGGAGGCGAGGGTGGGTGAGTGGGGGAAGCTTCCTCTGTACGTACTTCATTCACATGCCACCTGAGTTCCATCTTCTGTCAGATCAGCTGGCACTGGATTCTCATAGAAGCTCAAATCCTCCTGTGAACTGCACCTGCAAAGGATCTAGGTTGTGCACTCCTTATGAGAATATAATGTAATAATACTATAAAGTCAAAATGTAATGATAATAGAAATAAGGTACACAATAAATGTAGTACACCTGAATCATCCCCAAGCCATCCTCTCCCTCAGCCTCCAGTTTGTAGAAAAATTGTCTTCCACAAAACTGGTCCCTGGTGCCAAAACAGCTGGGGGCTAGAATGGGGATTAACGCAGTCATGGGAACAGAGCTCATACAACTCAATCACTTTATCAAGGCCCTAGCACAGGATTCAATTTTCAACATGAATTTCTGTGGGACATTCAAGCCCTGGCAGCGTCAGAACTTATCTTGAGTGGAGCTGAAACCATTTGGAGTCCTTATTTCCCACTAATGTGAATCTTCCTCTGTTTTCACTATAGAAATAAGTGCTTATGGGCGCTGCCCCACACCTTGCTAGGATGTCATATCATATGAGGTATACTCCACGATACCTTCCTAAAATCCGAACAGTTTGGAATTCCTGGTACCTTCCAGTCCAAGGACTTGTGATATGGCATTAAGGGCCTGTAGCTTGTTTCACATGATGCTTTTGTCTAGAAATGGGGATGTCATTAACCACTCTTTGATGTCTGCACTACGGGGATGCGAGCTTGATGGATTCTCTTCTCTTGCCAACTCAAGGATTCACATATTTAGCTGATCTTCTTCATCTTACTAATGACTGTAACCCAGTGCTGCCCCCCGAAAACACAAAAATCCACATATGCAATTTAATATTTCTAAGTATCAATATTAAAAAGCTAATTTTTAATGTAAGCCTATTTTATTTAACCCAATATTATTATTGAGAATTTGAATTTCAACATATAATTGATATTTTTAAATAGTATGACTTTTCTTTACATGTATAAAATCTTCCAACAGTGTGCAGTTGACACTGGCTGAGCACATTTCAGAAGCTGAGGTTGTGGCCTCCAGGCTGCCTTACTGGTTCCCCTGGTCCTCCCCACCCCCACCTACTTTCCTGACCCTTGCTTAACCATCTGGCGCAAATAGTCCTGATTATATAAGCGTCTCTCCAGCTTCTGCCCCCCTACCCCAGCCTGTTCTTTCTCCTCCCTTCCCCCTCCTTCTTTTGCATCTCTTTTTTGTGGCGTTGATGATTGAACCCAGGGCCTCACACATGCTAAGTGCACATTCTACCATGAACTTCACTCTCGGCCTCAACTTTTATTTTAATAAGAGCCACTTTCTGAGAAGCAAGTTGGGCATTCAATAGCACTTTTTTCTCCACTTGTGTAGAAACTATTATTATCACCGCGATCTGGTGGAGAGCGAAACCTGAGCCCAAAAGTTAAAGGCTTGTCAGAGACACTGTGAAACCATAGCAAGTGTAGGTAAGCGTTGTGTTCCGTCACAGGCTGAAAAACAGCGCCCAGAGCCACAGATGGCTGACTTTACCCTTGATGGCTTCTCTGGGTCCATCCTTCACTTCCACTGTATCTCCAAAATCAGCTGGGCTTCTCTTCTTTTCTCTATCCTTATGCCAGTGATAGAATCTTTGCCCCAGTCCAGTGCCGCATTCCCAGCTAATTCTAGACACACCTCAAAAATATGCATCGAAACCAAAAGTTCCTCCCCTGAATGCGCAGACAGCGCCTGTGCTAACCCAGAGCCCAGGTCACCCTCAGCCCTGCCTGCACTGCTCCTGGGCTCCACATAGTCTCAGCTTCCAAGTTCCACCCACTACAATTCAAAATTTAGAATTGGTAAGATGAATGTTATCATTTTACTTTCTTGTAATCATTGTTAGACTATTCACCAGAACTTGGGAGTCATATTTTTAATAATTTGCAATTTATCAGATTTAGAAAACTTTTAAAACCATTGGAAGAGCTGGATGTTGTGATCCCCACACTCTGGAGACTGAGGCAGGAAGATCGGAAGTTCAAGGACAGCTCCGGCAACTTAGCAAGATCCTGCCTGAAATTTTTAGAAGTAGGATAGGGAACTGAAGCTCTGACTCAGCACTCTCTAAGTTCAATCCCCCATAGCAGGAGAAAGAAAAAAAGAAAGAGTTTGCTTGTTAGGGTCACTAATTTAAGCCAAAGCACACATTTAAATTCCCAGAAAGAGAAGTATATTAAATTTATCATTGCAGTTTAAAATGTTGAAAAGAAAATAATTAAGGTAAATGGCACTCATGATTTAATGGAAATTTAGTCCTTTCAATGTGAGACAATCCAAAACTAGTCAATTGGGCAATGTACGTACACACACATTAAAATAGTGCATTACTCCATTAATATATACAACTTGTATGTTTCTATGTAGTGGTTAAAAATAAATTTAACTTTAAAAGAGAAAAGAAAAATCTAATCAAAAGTGTTTCCTTTTATTGAACACTAAATTTATCAGATTAATAAATACCAGATTTGGAACCAAAAAGCTTTAAAAAACTGGACTTTTTTTCATTTTAATAAACTGGATATTCAATGTAAGCCCTCAAGTCTACTGTGTCCGCTGAAGGGGATGGGAAGGTGGCTTCTCCACCCTGTGGGAGTCCATGACAGCGCCGGCGGGCCTTTCCACAGCTATCAGGAGGTTTCCCAATGGTGGCTTGGGGCTGCCACAGGAAGGCAAGGAAGGAGAAGGACCAGAGAGGAAGAGGGGACAGCATGGGGCAGAGGAAGGGCAGCCATCATCTCTGAGCCTATCAACATGGAAGGAAGCTAGGGCCCCAGAATTCAAAAGGTGGCTTTTACCAAGCACCCTTTCTACACTGGCACAGGCTTGGCGCTGTCCTCGGCTCTCTGATGGGCACCTCCCCATCTGTGCTTCAGTCAAATCCAGCCCCCCGGGCAGCAGCACCTGAGCTGAGCTCTGACTCTGTGGTTCCCAGGTTGTTACCACCAACTCCACTGTCTCAAGAAACCAAATGGTACCTTCCCTGGAGAAGCAGAGGGTCCTATCTAGCAAGTCACGCAAATCAGGAAGCATACATGACACGGCCTCATAAGGCCTGACTGCCGTGCTTCTGTTTGGTGAAGGTGACCATAGCCTCTCTCAGCGACTCCACTCTAAGGACACAGCAGTAGCCCATGGGGAGACTGTCTGGAGCCAGTAGAGTGAGCAGGATTTAAATCACATTCAGCATGTTGGCTGCTCTATAATGGATGCAGAATCGCTCGTTAAAGTTTTGGTAGATGGCTGCGTTAACTCTTACTCACTTAATTGAAGTTACCATCTTCACAGATAAAATTTTACTTTTAAGGAAAATTGGGAAGAAAGGACCACAGCACAGGGCACAGGACCTTTTGCAATGCTTCATGGGGACAGAGGAGGTAAAGCAGGTAATCTGTTCACGGTTTGGTTTGTTTAAAACCAATTATAATTAGGAGACAAACTAGATTAATATATCAATCTCATTATCAGTTGTCATTTTGGTCATCAAGCCATATGCCCATCCTGCATCTTTGATGACAGCTAAACACAAAAATCAGACAAGAATAAAAAATAGCCAGAGTACTGGGAAGAAATTTTTTTTTCTCCTCTATAGAGCTAACCTTTGCCACTTATTTAAGTGATAAAACAATAACGTTATGTGTCAGGCTTGTATTTAGCAAATAAAATACAGGGCACTCTGTCAAATTTGAATTCAGATAAACAATAAAATTTTGTTTTCAGGTATATCCCAAGTATCGCATAGGATATAATGTAACATTTGGGACACACATGATGAAGTTATTTAAAAGCTTTCATTGCTTATGCTAATCTCAAATTCAGTTGGGTGCCCTCTATTTTATCTGGCATGGTCACGGAGTTTAGGGATGCTACAGTAGATTTTAAAGTAGCATTAATCTTAACAAGTGTACACAAGAATAGTGTTATTTTCCTTATTGTTCTGGCACTGAATGCAGAGGGCTTTCTTACCCTACCATTTGCATCTTAGAGAAATTGAGTACGCTGGAACTTGACATTTGGTCACCCAGGTAATATGCAGTGGAGCAGAATCCTGCCCCAAGTCTTTGGGAATCCAAAGCCAGCTTCTTATTCTGTCCCTGTAAATCTTTCAGACATCCAATTAATAATGCAGGCAACTATTGTCTTTCTTTTTTGTGGCAATATACACATAACATTAAATTTACTATGTCAACTTTTTTTAGTGAAAAGTTCATTCAACATTCACATAGGTGATCCAACTCTGGAATTCTTTTCATCTTTTAAAACTGAAATTCTGTACCCACTAAACAACAATTCCCTGTCCCTACTACCCTTTGCCCCTGGCAACCATCATTCTACTCTGTCTATAAATTTGATTACTTTATTGTAAAGTATTTATATACTGATTCATACACAGTATGCCATTTCACTTAGCTTGATATTCGCAAGGTCCATTCATATTGTCGCATATGTTATACCTTTCTTCCTTTTTAAAGCTGAGTAATATTCTGTTTTCTGTTCTGTGAATATACCATATTTTTGTTTTTCTGTGTATCCATTGATGGACAATGGCAGTGCTTACAATTTTTGACCATGGTGAATAACCACATATGCACATCAGTCTACTATTATCTCTTCAAGTTCCTATTTTCAGTCTTTTTATGACCAAAACAAAATTATTATATAGACATACTACATTTTGTCTATCTCTTCAATTATTAACAGGCATTTGGGTTGTTTCTGCCTTTTGGTTTTGTGAATTGTGCTGCTATGAAAGTTCATGTGTACATTTTGATGTGGACATGTGTTTTCATTTCTTGTGGATATATATACTATCCTTGGCATCTGGGCTGCTATCATAAATACCACAGACTGAGTGGCTTATAAACAAGAGAACTTTATTTCTCACAGTCCTAAAGGCTGGACAGTCCACGATGAAGATACCAGCAGACGCAGCGTCTGGGGCAGACCCACCTCTGGCTCCTAGGTAGCGGACTTCTCACTGTAAACTCTCACGGTGGCAGGGGAGGGGTGCTCTTAGAGGCCTCTTTTATAAGGGCACTGATCTCGTTCATGGAGCCCTCGTGACCTAATCACCTCCCAAAGGCCTCACTGCCCAGTATCATCACACTGAGCCTTAGGGTTTAACATACGGATTCTGACATAGAAACATTTGATCTATAGCATATGCCTCAGAGTAGAATAACTGGATCATATGGTAACTCCATGCGGAATCAGTCAAGGAACTTCTAAACCAAAGCAGTAGACTCATTTTCCACTTCTACCAGAATAGGTGAGGGTTCTGATTTTCCCACATCCTTTCCAACACTTAGTGTTATCTGATTTTTCTCCTCTTGTCATCCCTGTGGGGGTGAACTAGTATCTTGTGGTTATGGCTTGCGTTTATTTCCCTGATGTCTAATGATGTCTCAAATCTGTGATAGTGTGATACTGTCCTTGGACTCCTGTAGGCTCTCCCTACCTCTTGGTGCAGTGAATAAGACCTCGGTCAAGTCTGAGTTCTTCCCTAAACAGTGTGGTCTCAGGCAAGTTACTGTATTTAATCTCGCTGTGTGGAGGTTTTCTCTTCTGTAAAACAAGAAAAGGTATGTAAGTCACATAGCTGTGCATCTGGCAAGTAGAAAACCTCAGTATACAGTGGGTACTATGATGATAAGAAGGTAAGCAATATTGTACATGACAGCAATTTGTGCCTAAAACCCTTCACAGAACTTCTCACTGCTTGTAGGGTAGAACCCACAGTCCTAAGGACTGCCCACAGGGCACAAGTCTGATTTTTATCTGCCCCACAAATTCTCTTTGTGATCCACCATGAGCACCCAGCTTTATTGACTCCACATTGCTGGTAGTTTCTCCAGACACCATGTCTTTTCATATCACCATGGCTTTGCTTGTGTCATTCCCTGTCTGAAAGCCTTCTTTAGTTTTCAAGACCCAACTAATATGTACTAATCCTTTAGGACTCAAAGAAATTGAGTTGGGGCCTCTCCTATGGACTTGCATTGCTTCCTTGCCTACTGATTTATACTGAGATTCTGTTGGGTGACTGCCTCTGCCAATAAGCAGACGCTGTGCTATGCTTTGAGGGTAGAGGAGGAATGCCAGATATTATTCCAGCTTCCACTGAGCAGAGTTTGGAGGCAGGGAGGACCATGTGTCTGAGTGTCATTATATTCTCAAAACCCACTATGTGCTCGGCACATAGTAGGTACTTTCAAGTGTCGTCAAACTGACCAAGATACGATGCCTGGAGAAAGGACAGGTTAGCCTAGTGCTGAACTTCTGCCTTGCACATGTGTTTTATTGAATGTTTTAAAGGAAGGCTTAGTGATAATGGACGAAGGAACTCCAGGTGAACTGCATAGTGCCTTTTAGGTTCACATCCCACCCTTCAAGCTTCCCCAGTACTTTGTGGGGCCGCATACCCAGATGTCCAGCGCTGTTGGAGCTACTTGTGGGCTACTGGCTCCCTCTCCCATTACAATCTGTCTTTTGTCCTATTGCAAAACAATGAGTAGAAATGGTTTTATTAAATTCTTTTCAGGTTAAGCAGTCTCATTTATTACAGTATCTTAAAGTGTTCTCCAGGGTCCTTTCTCTGTAGTGTCGGCCTTTCTGATATAGAAGTACAAATGTGAAAATTGCCTCTCATATGCAGAGCAGGAAGTTAGGTATAGTTTGCTAAGCACATGTGTTGAAGGGCTAGCCTGCAGCACTATTGGGAGGTGGTGGAACCTTTACGAGGAGGGGTTTCATGGGAGGAAGTGAGGTCACTGAGGGAATACTCTCAAAAGGGGATGCCAGAAACATGGAAGATTTTTGACTTTCTTATTCATTCTCAGACAAGATGAGGTAAATAGGCCTCCTCTACCACACATTCCTGCCATGATGTACTGTGCCACCATAAGCCATGGTAATAAGCAACCGCGGACTGAAACTTCTGAAGCCATAAGCCAAAACAAACCCTTGCCTCTTTTTAAATTATTTCTCTCAGGTATTTTGTCATAGTAACAGAAAGCTGACAAACACAGAGCACTTGTCTGGGACATATAGATGACACTACTGCAAGTAGAGAATTAGCCACATGGCCAGTGTAGAAGCAATATCTTGGCTGGAAAATTCCTACCAGCAGTGCTTGAGAATCCTGATGATGTAAAGTTAATCTGGTTAATATAAAGTTAAAGTGGTTAAAGGGATAAGCTCTTTAAAGAAGATTCATTTAAGAGGGAATTTTAATGCTGGCAATTTCTACAGGGCCATATGGGAAGACATGCTGGGAACAGAGGAACTTTTCAGCATCTTCAGTTACAACTAGTTTGTGTTTTTCCTGGGAGGACATTAGTGGGTCAGTTTATACATGTAATATTCTATTGAATATATATTCTGACTAATAAAACTGGGTTCACTGCAACAAGTGGAAAATGCCTATTACCATATAACACTCAACTTCTGGGTTTATCCCAATAAATAACCCAAGATTATCAAATGTGTGCCTTGGACAGGATTTATGAGTGTTCCCTACTATGGTGTGAACACCAAAAAGGCAGGAACTCTGGCTCACCTCTGTGGCTCTACAGCACCAAACATGGCACTTGGCCCTGAGAAGCAACAGAGAAATCCTTGCTGAGGGGAGAAGGAAGAAGGCCAGGAAAGGAAAGGGATAAGGGCAATCAAGAGTTACCTCAGGTAGGGCTGGGGATATAGCTCAGTGGCATAAGCGCCTGCCTGGCAAGCGCAAGGTCCTGAGTTCGATTCCTGGTACTGAAAAAAGAGTTACCTCAGGTACTGTGAGGCCAACATGGCCACTATCCAGGGACCTAAAAAGAAAAGAATGGTAAATAGTAGCATCCACAAATACTCTTTGGCCAAAAGGTACAACAGTGAATCACGTCTTACCAAGAACTCTGCTGTTTCATTTAGTTATCTCTTCGGAAGCTGCATAGGTCTTTTATCAGCCACAGGAGCAATTAACACTGTTAAGACTGAAAATGTTATAATAACCTTCTTCCAGCTGTTCATAACTTCCCATGTGTGGGGTAGAGTTTTCTCCATTTGCCATCAGCCTAAAGGCAACTTTTGGAAGCTTGAGAAATAGGTCTCACGTTTATGTTTAATTTGGTAAAAATTATATCCTGCTTATTTTCTTCCTCCCCTGTAGTAAAACACAAAATAGAAATAGAGTATAGAATCAAATAATTTCCAAGGGTAAAGCAGTAACACAACTTGGTGTTCAAGTTAGGAAATACTAATTATTTTCTCTTCCTGATCTTCAAAAGTAACATTTTTATTAGAAACATACTTTGCCTGTTGTCATAGATATTGTGCATTTTACCTTTTAAAAACCAAGTCAGTGCTAAATTATGTTTTCCTTTAAGGAGGATATAATTTCATATTCAACCAGCACAGCAGTTTCAGGCTTACCAATTAAGTCTGTAGAAGGAATTATTATCACCCTTCTAGTTACAATCTCTCCTACCTAGCAAAAAGCTCAGAAAAAAATGGAAAGACCCACATAAAGGTTAAAGAAGCAATTCACTAAAGCAAGTGAACCTGAATGCTAAATTTTGAGAGCACCATTAATACTCACTGTGTTTTGCATTAGTAATTAGTATTCCTGCACCAGGAAGAGATATTTCCAAGTATTTTGAACTTGGGTTTCTGCACTGATTACATTTCGAGTTCAGTGTTGTTTCTTAATCTTTGTTGGCGTTCAGTGAGCTTGCCCTTTCACGGCTGGCTCTACCAAACAATAAATGTGACCATTTTGGAAGTCCAACAACAGGAGTGGTTTTTTAGAAAACCAGCAGCCAAACTGATTCACCGCATTGGCCTCCTTCCCAGGGATGGAGATAATGCTAGTTGTAGTACCGGTTATCCTTCGTGAGAATAGAATGGTGACTCTCAGGGCTGCAATTGCACAGCTGGCCAGGCGAATTGAAGAATGTCTAGGATGACGGCAATAATGGAGATGACTCCTAGGCTGGAGCAAGTCCTGAATTAAGTTAGTACATTCAAAGTTGCCATAGAAACCCTATTGGAATGTCCTCACATCTGCAGAATTGATTTCATGTTTAAATGTTAATATGCCTTCCTACATTTAATGATAAAGACAAATATGGAGGAAAGAAAACATACTCTCACGTCTGAACTCCTTAAAACATCGAATAATTTCCCAACACAAAGTCACCCTTTCTAACCGATGGACCAAAGAAGAGGTAGTGTGGGTTGCCACGGCTGGGAGTCGTTTAGGAGAGTCTGTGTGCCTTTACGTCAAATGCGGCACTCTGAAAGGCACTGCTGTAATTCAGCAAACCCAGCTTGTACTTGAAGCCAAATGAAATGCAAAGTTGCCTTTCAATGGCAAACCTCACAGAGGAAAATGTCAGTTAGCAATTGTGAGAAGTTTCAGCTACTGTATTTTTCACAGACTGAATTTTACCAGTAAACGTCGGTGAGAAAACATTTGGAGGCTCTTTTAAAATGCTTACATTATCAATTAATCTATAGTACGTTTTAAATAAATATTTCTATTAAATGTAACGAAAACCAGCATTTGTATGGCTTGCACCTAAATTATCATCATCTCTGCAAAGCAGATGCGGAATGCAAGACTAGGCGAACAATCGGCACTGTAATTTGCCCAGTAACATTGTTTTAGATCTAATTAGTGCTTATGCAGATCCTTTACAAAAATGTGAAAACTGCACCAGGATGTAATTGTTTAATGAATTTAGTGCAAAGCACATCTGCATAAATTCCATTTTAGCTGAAAAAACTAAGTTCAACTGCTATTTGCTCCAGAGCCAAAACATTGTGAATTGTGCCCACTGTGCTTTAGCCTTGCTCTGCTGGCTTGGATATTTCAAATAAATACTACAAAGTTAAAGCCTCCAGCTGCAGACCAACCCATCTGTAGATGTTTGTTATATTTGGCAGTATTGCAGAATGGTCGTGCCTTCCTGCTGGAAAAAAAAGAAAAACCCAAAGTTTTGTCAGCAAAAGAGAGAGAGAAAGAGAGAGAGGGAGATGAAGAGAGAGAGAGAGAAGTAAAAGTTTGAAATATTCATCACCCAATGGGAGTAAAGTTTTCAGTATGAACCCTTACCTAGTGGTGAATTTTAAACACCTGTTCCAGCTGAGCCTACCACGGCATTGCTTTCTCCCGTCCTCTCTAACATCCAAGTTCAGTTAAAAGCACAGGAAGTTGAATTAAACACAAGTTTACTGAAATTAGAATTTCAGCCTTTCCTTTAACTTGCCAGAGATCTTATTTGACACTTTTTACGATCAGTGTGTAAGTGCAAAAAACTCCTACAAAATGAGATGAGGTCGTTACAGATGCTCACATGATTGACTGGAAAAGTAACACTTCTTGGTGTTTCGGGGCTGGTTTTTGTTGTTGTTTTGTTCTGTTCTTTGGTCTTTTGGCTGCTGCATTTTTGTTGCAAATGAAGTACTAAACCAAAAATGTTTGTTCTCTTAGCTCCTGTATAGATAGAGGCCAGTGGGTTGACAGAGCTTGGGTAGGAGCAGTACGGAGGTGCTGGGGTCTCAGCAGAATTCGGTAAAATGATAAACCAGCTAGTCTGCCCCGTTCACCTCAGTGTTCCAGTTTAGGTGTAAACCACCTGAAAGGAGTGCTGCAGTGTCGCTGACGCAGATACTAATTAAAGCAGATACTGCTGTGCTGTTTCTGTTGGTTTTCTACTATAGAGCCAGTGTCAGACTGTCTCAGGTTTGGGCTCCCTGTGAAACAGACTCCCCAAGGCAGAAATGTGTCTGCAGCACATTTATGGGAAAGTGCAGCACTGGCTGATCCACACCTGGCTGCAAGACTGGGCAGAAAGGGAGGTCAACCTTGGGGCAGCTGCCAGAGGCCTCAGCGAGCTGCACAGAGTGCTCTGGAGCTGAGGTGCTTCCTGCAGGATTAGACTGAGCACAGGCAAAGGAGCTTGGCCTCTCATTCCGTATCAATCAGGCACTGGATATGCATTGGGCCTGCACAGGGGCGTAGCTCAGTGGGGCACTTCCCTTTGGCTGGGGGACACCTGTGAGCTGACTGCAGCCAGTGCTCCTGCAGGCTGGAGAAATGGTACCTGGGACCTAAGTGAGGATCTTATTCTTAATCCATAACATCTACTGTGTTCAGTCCTTGCACACTTGGGCCCACTAATTCCTTGTGTAATAATTTCACTCCACCTGGGAATCATGCCTACAAGATTCTCACCATCTCTTCTAGAGAAACAAGAGGAAGGAGGATAGAATGAACTGCAGTCGCTAACTGTATTTCCTCTTCTGCCCGTGCCTTATTGCTAGCATCACTGATGATATAGATAGCTTACCTGGTGGGTGAACTGGCCACCTTGCACTTCTCAGGCTGTGCAAGCTGTGCTTGTCTATCATCAAAATTTGTCAGGAAGGATGAGTTGACACCAACATAGGTCACCAGAGTGCAAGCACATTGTCCTCTGCCCAACTGGGTACTAGCCCTACCTCCTCATGATGATCAAAACCAATTCCTGCTGCTGGGATGGTGACTCCTTTCCTCACCTGATAGTCTCTGGGCTTAAGGATCCTGGAGGAACAGATGCTAGCTATAACTCAAAGTTTAGTGAGACCATTGCTTTGCCCCTGATGAGAGCTTTCCCCTTGTTGGAAGCAAAACTTCTATCTTCAGAAAAGTGGGAGAAGATGGAATGAGAAGGACACATTCCCCAAATAGGTCACTGAGAGTCACAGTGAGTGAGACTGTTTCCTTCCACCCTGATTCCAGATCCATGTATTCTACCTATTGGAGACACAGTACCATGCAATTGTCATTGACTTGGCATCCTAGAGGATGGAGTCCCATACTTGCAGCATGTTAGCTTCCTGTGGCCCCTAAACGGCTCCTTTCCAAGGCTTTCTCATCTCCCTATCAGGCCAGCAGCTTCTAGTCTGTACAATATGGGACCAGATTAGTATAGCCCCATGGTCAATAGCTTCCTGCTACATCTCCTTTGCTGTAAAGTAGATTACTTTGTGCAATACTATGCAAGGTAGGCTACCATAGCAATGGAAAAAACACTTTTTGGACCTTCAGATGGTAGCTTAAGTCCTCTAGGCAAGAAGATTAAACCAATACCTGACATACATATACATCCTAATGTGATAAATCACTTCCTTTTCTGGGTTGTAAACAGTATAATGTAATCAACTTCCCTTTAAGTGGATCTTGGAGGAATAGTGCTCCACCTGAGGCTCAACAATTGTCACTGTGGCTTGAAGATTGGATATTCAACAGTAGTGATGACTAAGTCAGCCTTGATTAGTGGGATTGCATGCAGATGACCTCATACAGAGCCTCCAACCCTGAGGTAGGAGCTACCACCTTTATGCACCAATTTTACCAGAATTTAGGTGGCCAGTGATACAGGTTGCTGACAATATCTGGTGAGCCATCCTATCTGTGTGGTTGTTTAGTGCTTCTTCTGTAGTAGATACTCTACTAAACTAGAGAGGACATTAAACGATGATGGCAGACCTATGCTACCATTGCCATTGCCCATAAACCTCTGTATGGACCACTTCTTTTGTTCTCAAAAGTGGATGATCAACTGCATAGTTCAAAGCTCCTCCTATTGAAAGAATTTCCCTTATCTATACTTCAAAGTCCTAGGTGAGCTATCATGTAGCCATTATCCATTTTTGACCTGAATTTACTAGCTCATCTGGCCCTTGCATAGACCAAAGTTGGCTTTTTCCTTTCTCTATTAGCTAATCAGTAAGAGATCATGCCATCCTCATGATCATGCAGGGATCATCATATAGGTGAGCTAAGGGAGAGGAGCTGGTGTCATGGTGATGATGACATGAGGGTCTGGGCCACTTGCTTGTGTGGCCTTCTTTTACTGATTTGCCTTGCTTCTGTTTCATTCTGGATATATCACTTCTATCTTATGATGGATTGCTCTTAGGCCCACACAACCTTGTAACTTGATGGGTTGGACAGAATTCAGGTTATCATGGACAGTTCTGGATACATGGTAACTTCACATGCCATGGTTAGACACTCCACCTCACCCAAGGCCATTAGCATGCCAGGAGCTAGGCTTTCAAATGATGTGTAATTCTCTGCTGCAGATGGCATGGCCGTGCTCCAGAACCCTAGGGGTCCTCACTGTGAGTCTCCCACTGGCTTGCCATAAACTTCACAGGCCATCTTTTTCCACCACAGATACCTCTAATAACAGAAAGTCTGATACTCATATATGGCCCAAGCAGCAGGACTGCTTCCATCACGCCATAGACCGGATGTAGACTTTTCCTGCACTGTGTCCCACCCAGAGTTAACAGCCTTCCACTTCACTTGGTAAATGTGTCAGGATAATATTTCCAGGTGGGGAAATGCTGCCTCCAGATTCCTAAAAAGGCTTATGATGCGCTTCTTTCTTAATGAAAGGCTTATGATGTGCTTCTTCCTTAATGAAAGGAGGTATAAATGCAATAACATTGTCTTTCACTTAAATATTCATGTACCTAAGGACATGCTTCCATGTTCTGGCATAATAATAACAAACCATATCTGTAACAGCACAAGAACTGGGAATATTACTTACCTAAGTTTGAGTTTGTAGCACTTAATATCCTCCAGAATCTCTCCAGTGTTTGTAGGACCCAGATTGTTGAATGACATGTGGTCTATGATTAGCACTCCTATTCCAGGATACTTTCAGGCTTTATTGGTGGCACTAATCTCCATCATTTTCCTTAGGATGTAATATTGTTTCCATTGTCATTTATTCTTTTAGCTAGGGTTGGGAGCAGTTTTGAAGTCTACTATTTGACCTTCTGTACTTTGATTTGTGATTCCACAAATTCCCAAACCAAAGACTCAGCATTGGCTTCTGCCACAGACTAAGTATGTCCTTTCCAATGATACTTTCAAGACTAAGGGAATGATCATTTGATGGGTTCATGGACCCATGGACTCATGGGTGTGAATCAGTCCAGATCTTATTACCATTTATTACATGGTCCCCAGTATGCTTTAATTCCAATAGGAGGAACATGAAAGTACTTCAGATCCTCCAGTATTCATGTGAACTCAGAATCTATGCTCAAGAATCCTGGAAATGTCTTGGTATCCCTTTCCTCCACTGTATGATTACCTGAGTAGAGGGCACCAGATCTCTTTGGGAAAATATTGGATGTATCATAATCATATGGAGTTTGGGGATCTAATCCTCCTCAATGCTGAGAGGGAGCACAGTTCTGCCATCAACCACAGCCTGCAGAGGACAGACAAGCTGAGGTTCTCCAAAACACTGAAGCCTAAATTATCAGCTTATTCCTTATTGCTTTGGAAGGGATGTCCTGATAGGCTTCAGAACAGTGGATCCTTCCGTATTCATTATGAATCTGGGTCTTCGTGGGATTCATCTCTCCTCTCACCTTTTGGAGTGTCCTTCAAAACCTCCCAAGTAGCATAATCAGCTGGTAGGTTTCTAGGTTTTCATAGTATATCCAGTCTAGCACATCCAGTTATCTGAGTTTTTCCATCCCTCTTGCTATCATTTTCTATAGAACTCTAATAGTTCCATTTCATTGTCCCATGTTTCTGAGAAACAACCTGACTGTATGTCCATAGGGTATGATCACCCAGAATTACACACCAAAGTGTATAATTGTGTAACACAAGAGAGATCCATATCAACACACCTCTACCTGATCCTATTGTCCTTGATAAAGCACTTTCAGGATTCAGCCACACGCACACTTTCCCAACTTTTGCTGGTGTGAATTTAGTAATTTCACAGCTTCTTCAGCATAAACTCCCCTTCCTCACCTACCAGGCTTTGCACTTCCTCAGCCAAATAATGTTCTGACTTGATCCTAGTTATCAATCTGCTACAGTGGACCTAGGGTAGATCCTACAGTGGGGAAGGACCATGTGTTGCCTTGCAAGACACAAACATCTGCACCATCCATTGGGGAGGATGAGTGGGTCAGAAAGGAGTGGGCCACCTTTGTAAGTCTCTAGGATTGAGGAAAATCTAGCTTTCAAGGGCTCTTGTGGGACCAACACATATGCACCCCCTCTAACCTTTAGCTTTGAAGGCCATGACTTCAAAATAGTAAGCCTGTAGAGATTGAAAATTCCATCTTCTATAGAACTTCATGACCCTTGTAGTTAAGTCCTAGGGCTGATTCTCACTCTTTTCTTCTGTTTTCTTTTATATTTTTGGCTCTCACTGCAGGAGATGAGAATTCTTCATATATTCCAAAGGGGTTTTAAATTGGCGATTATTCAGTCAAAGGCATTATTTGTCTTTTCCCAATACATTGGTGGCATTCAGCAAGAGCTATCTGATGTCACTCTACTTTTGAATGCTACTGTCTTCCCACACCCTAAACTCTCCCAACAGTTTATTATTAGCAGTATTAGTATTCTCGCATCACAACTCATCATTGGTGGAAAATTAAACAATTTCCCAAGATATTATACCAAGAAATGTGGATCATCTAATTCCCAAAGACCAGTTTAAAGTATACACTCAGATCTGCATCCTTACACCAACTACCTCAGGACAGGTAATAAATTCTGTGACAGATTTATGTGTAAAAAGTTTATCAAGGAATGCTCAGAGAGCCATACCTGGGAAGATGGAGAAGAAGCTGGATTCCCTTAGTTTCACCCGTTCCTTGTCAATCAAGTACCAGCTGATTTCCAGCATTTTCCCATTTCTTTAAATTGTCCTGGCATCTTTATCTTTGTAGGGATGATCCAGAGTCCCATGGCTTTGAAGCAGCTTCTAAATGACATGGAGATCAGATCACTCTGGCTCAAAACATTCTCCTTTCAACTATGGTTGTCCTGTAGTTTCTCTCTGTGTGTCTTGGTTTCTCTCTCTCTCTCTCTTCCTTCATCAACTACAAACACACACACACACACACACACACACACACACAAACACACAAACACACATTCATTCACTTACTCATGCACAATCTCCTCTCTTTCAGAAGTGATACCTTCAGCTATTATAAAACTCATTCCCACATCATTGCCTTCTTAAGGATTTGGGAAAGAGAAAAAGGTACAGAGGCTCTGAAATAATCATTAAATAATTGCTTAGTTGCTTATTTTATTGTTTGTTTATTGCCTATATTTGTGGAAAAAGAGAAAATGTTGAAGGCTGGGAGGAAGCAGCAATTTTACTCCACTCCTTTCCCTGAATTCCTATATCTTTACCAAATTCAGTTTACGTCACTTGTCAAGAAGTAGTACGGTTTTCAATATCTTCTGTTTGTTTGGTGTTTTTGTCCCCTTGAATAGATTCCCCTTTCTCAGGAGTGTAACCTGCCTTCAGGATCCAGTGGGTTCCAGATACTGCAATGGCACTCACCCTCATTCTCACCCTGTTTCTTCTTTTTTCTTGGTTTAATCAGAAAAGACAACCATGATTTCTGTCATTGTTCTCACTTGAATACATAAACAGCTTCTGTATTATAATTTTAATGATTTTCTCTAACTTTGCCTTATGAAAAAGGACAGCGGGGCCCAAATTATTGGTTGTAATTCTTTACAGATAATTATTCTATCACCTACTAGAAACTATATTACAACAAGCAAGAAATCTAGCACCATAACAATATTTTCCACCATTTGGAGAAACTGACAGAATGTAGTAGCATAATAGGATTTAGTTACAAAAGACATTCAGAGACTTTGGAGGGGGACCTGTTATAGCGCATGCCATCTCCTCTTTCCTGGTGAAATCCA